CCTTTGTAAGCCGCCCTGAGTCCCCCCCCGGGGTGAGAAGGGCGGGGTATAAGTAGATGAAATAAATAAAAATAAATAAAGAATATTTAAAGGAAATCAAGAATTAAAAGCATAATAACAGCAACCAATAGATAAGCAAACAATGGAAAAAGAAGAATGAAAGAAGGAAAAGAAAAATTAAATAAGTAAAACAGAACAAAATAAAAACAAAAGGTACTATTTAGTACATCATCCATCTGTGGACCAAACGGAAGTGTCATGAACTATCCCTTCCCTCAAACCTCTTTCCCAACCCTTCATCCCCCCCACAGCTTCCCTCACACCCCCCCTGCTCCCTCCCCACCCCGTATACCATCCCTTTAACCCTATACCTTTCTTACCTTTCAAGCTTTCCTATAAATGCATTGTTCTCCCTCTTTCGATGTCACAAATCAAAGGAAACCCAATAAAAAATATTAAACCCTTATCCCAACACTTTTTTTAAAAAAAGAAATACACATGGGTTTTGTGGGCATACATGCAGTTTTGCAAAAAAAAAAAAAAGCCCTACTGTTTGCAGACAGCCATTTTTTCTGCAATACTGCTGTTTCTATACAACCCCCCCCCCCCACATGGTTAGCTTTTTTTGGAAGACTACTGCTTTCTGTGTGAATTTCTTTTTATGTGTCAGATTTTTAATGTGTACAGTTGCCTTTTTTTTGCCCAAACCCCATGCAAAAATTCCCACATTTTTCTGTGAAGAATACTTTAATGAAACCCTTCAATTGTGTGGTTACTGGACAAAACTGTCCAAAATTTTCACTACTGTATCAGTCTATCTAGATTTCCTGAGTGTCAGGATATGGGTATATGTATATAAATTTTAATCATAATTAAACTTAATTTATAAGCTATATAGTTCAATATATCATAGGTGGACTGGGCTGTAGGCAAAGTTCAGTTTCAGCTGGAGTCTTATGTTGGATCTGTTAGATATCAAGAGACGTAACTGGTACATCTAACCCAATACTGTCTTACCTCAAACTACATGGAGATACCAGGAACTGGAATTGGGATGTTCTGTATGAAAAGCATGTGCAATTCCAGCACTTTCCTTCCTTTGACTGTGATTCATGTTTTTTGGGGAAACATCTGAGTCTCCTCTTTGTACGTTTACAAAGGGATCCCATAGTTTTACTCAATCCTAACTTCTATCTTCTGCATTATTGTTGAACCAATAATCAAATTTACAAATTCTGTTTTATTTTCAGAGCTTGAATGAAAATTACCATTGGTATTTGTCTAGACGATGCGGAGAACTGTTATATCTTTTCAGTAAAGTAAAGGTAAAGCTTTCCCCTGACATTAAGTCTAGTTGTGTCTGACTCTGGAGAGATGGTGCTCATCTCCATTTCAAGGCCGAAGAGCCGGTGTTTTCTGTAGACGTTTCCTAGGTCATGTGACTGGCATGACTGCATGGAGCCCTGTTACTTTCCCACCAAACATTTGCATGTTTTTAAATTGCTAGGTTGGCAGAAGTTGAGGCTAACAGCAGGAGCTCACCCTACTCCTCGGATTCAAACCATAAAACTTTCAGCCAGCAAGTTCAGCAACTCAGTGGTTTAACCCACTGCACCACCAGGGTAAAACCCTATATATCACAAGACATTAAGAAGATCCTTCCCCCTCTTTTTATGACAGCATATTTGAAAAATATTTGCAATAGGCGCATTCATCTTCTTGCTGCTTGGATAGCATGCATCTCCCCCTTTCCTTGCTGTGAGTAACAAGTGGAAAATCCAACCCAGCTATCCCTCTGATGTTCGCCCACTTCATTATTCCCCTTAAAAATTCTGAAACACTTCTTCCTTTTCAGAGCATATCAAACATCTTTCCCTTTAGACTTCCTCAAATACCTGCACCACATCTTTTCAAGTTACTCTAGCTGCTCCCTTTTTTCCCTGGCCGTAGTAGGAGAAGCTATTAAGAGCTTCACTGTCAATCACCTGGAAAGCCTCCCAGGAGAGCAAGTTAGTGTTTGAAGTCCAAACTGAGAACCAGACTGAGTGTGCTCCAGCAACACATGGGGAAAGAAAAGGGGAGGGAGAAACTTGTTAGAGAGAAATCCTTACTTCTAGGCAAGTGAAACTGAAGTTTTGAGAGGAAGTTGAAAAATGCCTGTATAGATTTTAAGATAACAGCAGCAATAGCTTTTCTCAGCAACAAAATATTGAATCTTGGTGATTTGAGCAGTATACAAAGATTTGTATTGATGCTTGCTTTTAACATGCTCACATTTGGAGTACTCAAAGTGCTCTTGGGTGAGTGGGTGATTTTGTAAGCACCTTATAAGGAATACATGAGAGATAGGTAGGCTTTCAGGGACAGGTTTATTCTTACAGAAGTGTCTCTGAAACTGTTGAGCTGTTGAGCTACGGTTGGTGCCATCTGAGAGTGTGCATGCTTGAGTTCGAGTAGTGGTGATGAAGTAAACAACAACAACAATAATAATAGATGCTTGGGAAGTGTTCAACTTGGGATTTTGTGATACGAAATCTAGCATATACATCTCATTTGCTGTGACACACTGTTTTGTGTCAGTAAAATAATAATAATAATAATAATAATAATAATAATAATAATAATAATAAATCTGTATGTCTTTTAAGGCAGCTATGAGTCATTGGGAGATTGCAATAGATGATTCAAAATCTGGCAAGGTCTTTTTTGCTTGTTGGACAGTCAAATTTCAAGTTGAAATTCAAAACAGGGTGGTCATGAGAAACAAAAAGAAGCAGACATACCTTATCAGAAAATTGTGTAAATGTGTCAAGATCTGACAATGTATTTTTGATTGTTGTGTAACTTGTGCTGCAGCATTCCAAGCTTGAAATTCCAGAGAAGGAGGCCGCCTTAGACAGTGTGAGTGCATGAGCCTTCAAGTTGCCTCTCCACTTATGGGAACTCATGAATTTCACAGGATTTTCTTAGACAAGGAATCCATTGAGGTGGTTTTGCCAATTATTTTCTCTGAAATATAGTTAAAGTACCAGTCTACCCTACAGCTGATTCCACTTAGCTTCCAAGAGCACGTGGGATGTGGTGCCAATGAGACATGTAACTAGATGCATCAACATTTGAAAGAATTATTTTGATTATTGCCCAAATTTCAGTGGCCAGTTTTAACTGAATTACAAAATTAGTTAATGAGAAAACAGCAGCTCTCCATTAACGCTTCTGGAAGAAGACACCAACCTGTTGTATATCACATTGATCTGGTTGAATGTAGAGGATAACTTTCTTACCTCATTCAAAGTTGTTAATGATTTGCAGATAAAAGTGTTTGAGGTGGATTATTTAGATCATGCATGGGCAATCTAAGGCCCGGGGGCCAAATGTAGCCCCCTGGGCACTTACCTCAGGCCCTCTTCATTTTCCCTGTCCTCTCGGCATAAGGATGTGGTTGAGTGCCACATCCTTATGCAGAAAGGACAAGGGAAGAAGGCACGCAGCAGCTGAGAGCCCTCTGGAGGGCTCTCAGCCACTGTGTGTCTTGCCCTCCTCCCAGCATAATGCTGAGAGGACACCCCAAAGACCAAGGGAGGAGGATCAGGGAGGAGGATCAAGACAGTTGCCACATGTCTTGTTTTCCTTCCAGCATAAGAATGGGGTAAGCAGCTCCATCCTTACACCAGGAGGACAAACTGTGGATGATCCAGGCCCTGTCCCACCCCACCGTCTCTCAGGCCCTGCCCCTCCTGGGCCTGTCTAACCCAGCACGTGCCCAGTTGTCCTCCCTCCTGGCCAGGCCCACAATGTGGTCCAAGGCAAAAAAGTTTGCCCATGCCTGATTTAGATCCATTCATAGATTCAGTCTTGCTGCAAGTCTTGTGTGGGATGGTTACTGCTTTTGCCTCCTCTGTGGATAGTCTGCCCTGAAATAAAGCCTGTTTTATTGGTTCTGCTGGACCTCATGGTAACTTAGTATCTTTATGTTAAACCTTATGTGAGTTTAGTTTCTCCTTTTTTAACCCCTCAAGTTTAAGGAAAGATTTTCTAATTCTGAATCTGTCTCTAAAGTTGGCAATGGTTTGGATGAGGTTAAACAATTTGAAACTTGCATACGGAAGTGTATGTATTTCTGGTTAGTTGACCTTGGAACAGAAATTGAACATGGTGTTGCATTTCATTCGAAGATTTAGGTTTCCAGTTTATGTGTATTTTAGTGGATGTATGAAAGCTCAGGGGTCAGCTACATCTATTCCTAGAGATGACAGAACTGGAAAATAGTGACACATGCCACAACACATTGCATCCTGTTTGGTTAGGCTCACCATTGGACAGCCTTTAAAAGGTGCCCAGAATATCCAGCTGGTCCAGATTGTTGTACTGAAATTGTTGATTAGTAGTAGCTAGGAAGAGAAAGCAACTTCTTTGTTATGACAGCTTCAAAGATATCACTCTGTTCCCAGGGAAAATTCAAAGTGCTGGTTATGGTCCTTAATGTTGTATGCACCTCGGGACCATGCTATCTGAAGGGCTCTATTATCTGAAACAAGTCGAGTCTGTCCATTCGTCTGTTGTTATCTCCAGACGAATCATTTCTTATGTCCTTAGTCATCCTGGAGGCACATCTGGAGAAGTTATGAAAGAGGGCTTTCTTGGTGACTGCGCCCAAGTTATGAAACTGTGTACAAGGGAAACTAGGCTGATCTGCATTTGGTTGGTTCTTTGAAAATTAAAATACTGATTTATCATCTCGTAGTTTGGCATGCTCCCCAAGGCAATGCACAACAAAATAAATATAGGTCTTTAAGAGCAGATAAAAACAAGCTTTAAAATATACAACATTTAAAAAAACTATTTTCTTTTTTTCTTTTGCTGGCAGCCATAAACTTTTAGACTGTGTGACTGTTGATGGCTTTTTATTTCTTAATTGTATCTCTAATCTATTTTTCTGCTTTTATTGTATTTTTGTATGTGTTTTAATTTTAATTACTGGCAGTGAATTTTGGAGTGGGTATGTATCTGCTATTGGTACGAATGCAACTGCCACGGAATCATTGTTTGATGTGTTAAATTCCTCATTCTTTTGATCACATGGCTTTATCAAAATAATTTTCGGCCTCTGATACTCATTTCAACAATAACACATAGCATTCATTTTAGTTTTGTTTCTTGTTTCCAAAATAAATTTTTCATCTGACAACCAAATTCTTTTTAAGGCATAGTTTGGGGGAAAAAGTGCTATAACTTTCATAAAACACGTCAAAGGTTCACAGTATGTTGTTGAAGGCCTTCATGGTCAGAATCACTAGGTTGCTGTGAGTTTTCCGGGCTGTACAGTCATGTTCCAGAAGCATTCTCTCCTGATGCTTTGACCACATCTATGGCAGGTATCCTCAGAGATTGTGAGGTCTATTAGAAACTAGGCAAGTGAAGTTTATATATCTGGGCAGACTAATTCAATTTATTTATTTATTTTGAATACTTTTACCCCACCCTTCTCAATACAAAACAGCAATAATTATAATAGTTAGAAGCATAAAAACATTAAACATAAAACATTAAAACAATATACTTATAGTCCACTGAGCTATTACCAGTCTGGTGGCCATTTATCTAGCCATATACTTTGATTGAAAACTCCGTTTAACTTATCCATAATCCATTACTAAGCCATTGTCAACATTGTCAATTGTCATTTCCATCTAACTACCCAAAGGCCTGGTCCCACATCCATGTTTTTACCTTCTTTCTAAAGGTGAAGAGGGATGACAATGAACTAATTTTCCTGGGGAGTGAATTCCACAGGTGGGAGGCCACCACCAAGAAGGCCCTGTCCCTCGTCCCCACCAAATGTGTTTGAGACAGAGGCAGGGCCGATAGCAGGGCCTCCCCAGAAGATCTTAAACTCCTAGGTGAGACATAGAAGGAGATACGTTCGGACAGGTACGCTGGACCAGAGCCAGATAGGGTTTTATAAGCCAAAACCAGCACTTTGAATTGTGGTTGGAATTGGATTGGCAGCCAGTGGAGCTGACATAGCAGGGGGGTGGTATACTCCCTGAATGATGCTCTGGTGAGTAATCTAGCTGCTGCCCATTGGACTAATTGCAATTTCCAAACAGTCTTCAAAGTCAACCCCACATAGAGCGCATTGCAGTAATCAGCGTGGACCACTGTGGCCAGATAATTCAACCGAGAAGTCAGCCACAGCAGAGCACCTGATGAACCAATCTGGACACAGTATATTATTTGAGAACACAGAAATGCTGGACCACTGTAACAACTACCATGTGAGACTACACAGAGAAGCCATTGAAATCCACAAGCATGTGGACAATTTCAACACAAAGGAGGAAACCATGAAAATGAACAAAATCTGCCTATCAGTATGTAAAAAACCCCCTCTAAAATCAGGACAGTAAATAAAGAGCAACACTCACAAAACAGGGGAATTCCAGACAAGAATCAATCAGGGCCAGCTAACACCTCCCAACAAAGGACCCTCCCAACAACAACCTCCCAACAAAGCAGCAACCAGCCAGGCTTTGAAGCTGCAAGGTGATTAAATGTGAATCAAAGCGGCCAATTGCACAACCCAAAGGTCCACACTTTGTCTGAAAAAATACTATCAGTGTATAAACATGACTTCTTCCCAGTACTCCCTCTTTAAAAGCTCTTGCACTATATTCCCCAGTTCATTCTGAATGGAGTTTAAAAAGCTATTTGGAGAGTCTATCAGGATATTTCTGAGTCAGATAGCTGAATTCAAGAAGTGAGTTCAAAAGGCCTTGTAACCCTTTGGACTGCAATCATAATGTCAGAATATACCACAGTTGAAACAATTCAACTGAAAAAGGAAACAAAAGAAACACAATTCAAGATTGAAGAATTTACTCCTACTATAAATCACACTTTTCTTTCAGAATGAAATGCAAATATTTTCCCTGCTATATCTGCCATCAAGAAGCCCCTTCCAGACTCATGGCACAAAGTATAGTAACCTGCATATTTGCACCAACATAGAGGAAACCAAACAGGACGAATAACTCAGGAAGGAATTCTAGTTTTAATATAATTTAAGGATAAATGTGCTATTATTTATCTAGAATTTAAATGTATATCCTTTCTCCACTAGATGGCTATGTCAATGCAGTATACAACTGATTAACAATAAAATATGAAAACCCTAAGTAAAAGGAAAAACTGGGGGCAACTGAGGACAACAAATTTAAAAGCAACCAGGAGGGAAAGGGGAACAGAAAAAATCAAACTCACGACCCAGTTCTATCTCATTACCTTCTCAGGCCCAAGGCATATGTTAACAAGAAGGCCTTTATTGTTGGTGGAAGGCAAACAGATGAGGCTGAATGGGAAATCAGTGCCAAATACGAGAATATCAACAGCACTCAATTTCGTGACATTTTAGGACTAAAATCTGAGATCAGGGACTGGGTCCCATGGTATCATAGGGATTGTTCGTTGTCATGACAGAGTTTTGGCACGTATGGGTTGAGAACGTCTTGGATCAGCCAATCCTGCACACAATCATGAAATAGTTTCAGAATTTTGAACTCTAAATATAAGTTAAAGATATATTTCAACAACAAGGCTGCACTTTAAATTGTGCTTGGAAATATATACATGAGACATTGAAGCTTTTCAAATGTTGAGTTTACATGTTTTTGAATATTAATCCTTTGTTGTTAATGGTATTTCAATGTAACACTATTTTGTATAAGTACATTACTCCGGAAAGCTTCTATTCTCAAAAATGACACTATAATGAAAAAAAGTTTTTATTTTTTTTAAAATCTGAGAAATTGATGGAACTTTATACATTTATAAATTTTATAACAAGTTTTAATATTACAGGCATTTGGTTGATTTATTCCTGTTTTCATCATTGAGAAAGCCAAGGTAAATGTTTATATCTTCCAGAAGGTGGCACCATTGCTAAAGAGAACAAGGGCAATATTAGCTAATCGCTATGGCTACTTCAGCAAGTTGATTAAAAATGCTATAGAAGTTATAGTGAGACAGCCTTTCCCCTGGAAGACGGATTATTTCTGATGTGATGGATCACAATATATATGCATATGATGTAAAAT